CCGTGCCCCTGGCCTGCGCCGCGCGCGTCGCCGCGTCGCGCGACGCGGCGCTCGCCGCGATATCGCGCGCGGGCGTCGGGCCCCGCGCGCTCGCCAAGATCCTCGAGGCGTTCGCCGCGCTCCACGCGGGCGCGGGGGCGCTCACGACGGACGTCGCCGGGGCCCTCGCGACCCTCGTCGCCGACGTCCGCGCGCTCCCGGGGGCCGACGACGCGGACGACGCCCCCCGGGACGTCGCCGCGAGCGCCGCGGACGCCGCGGACGCCGCGGACGCTGCCCCCGCGGACGCCGCTCCCGCGGACGCCGCCCCCGCGGACGCCGACGACGACACGCCGACGCTGCCGCCGACGCCGGAGAAGCCGCGGAAAGCCCCCGCGGCTTTGGACGTCGCGCAGCAGCGGCCGTCGCGCGCGAGGCCGCCCGTCGACTACGGGGAGCGCCCGCTCAACACGAAGCTGCGCCGGCCGCGCGATTACAAGTAAAAGGAAGGCGTCCTAGATGTCCAGGGTTCGGCCCGCGAAGGACGGGCGCCCGAGCTCGTCCTCGGCGTCGTCCGGCATCGAGGACACGTCGGACCAGCCGCCGTGCGTGAGCGCGTCGTCGTCGCACTCGTCGAAGGCGAAGTCCTCGCCGGCGTCCTCGGGCTCGCCGATGGCGTCGTCGTCGTCGTCGGCGATGGCGTCGTCGCCCCAGTCGGAGTTCTCGTCCGCGTCCGAGGGCGGGCCGTCGAGGAGCACGCTGCCGCGCCAGATGCTGTGGCTCTCGCGCTCCCAGTGGCCGTAGCGCGGCGCGGGGGCCGACGGCGCCCCCGCCGCGGGCGCCGGCGGCGGCCACGCGGGCCGCGCCGCGCCGGCGAGCGCGTCGACGGACTCGCGGACCGTCGGCGCCTCCGCGGCCTTCGGCGGCGGCCAGACGGCCGTCGATTTCTGCGGCGCGCGGCCGCACCGGGGCTCGGGCGGCGCCGCGCGGAGCTGGGCGCCCCACTCCGGGTCCCGCGGCATGTTCTTGAGCGCCTCGACGCTGTCGCGGACGGGGGGCGGCGCGGGCGCCGCCGCGGCCCGCGCGCGCCAGCCGGCGGGGCTCCGCGGCGCGTTCTTGAGCGCCTCGACGCTGTCCCGCACCGGCGCGGGCTCGGGCTCCTTGGGCGGCGGCCAGACCGGCGCGGCGGGGGGCGCCGGCTCGGCGGCCGCCGGGGCCTGCTCGCGGTAGAAGAAGCTCGGGCGGTGCTCGTGCTCCGGCTCCGAGCTCGCCGCGCTCGCCAGGCTCGCGCGCGGCTCGTCGGCGGCGTCGGCGTCGTCGTCGCCGGGCGCGCCGGACGCCTCGACGGCGGCGTCCGCGAGCGACGCGCGGCTCGGCGCGCGCGAGCGGGGCTCGCTCGGCTCGCTCGGATCTCGCGCGCGCGCGTCGCCGGCCGCGCCGGCCGCCGCGTCGACGGCGGCGTCGGCGAGCGACGCGCGGCTCGGCTCGCCCCGGACGACGGCCAGCCGGAGCGGCCGGGGCTTGAAGATGGCCGGCCCCGGCGGCCCCGCCTCGGGCCAGTCCTCCGCCGCGAGGGAGCGGCCCGCGACGGCGACGACGACGTCGCCCGCGCGGACGCCCGCGGCCGCGGCCGCGCCGGCGCCCTCGACCGCGAGCACGACGAAGCCGCCCGCGCGCGGCTCGAGCTTCATGCCCAGCGGGCCCTCGTCGCCCGCGATCTCCAGGGCCACGGGCGCCTCCGCCGGGGCCGCCTCCTTGGCCTCCCCGACGCTCTCGAGGAGCGCCGCGGCGAATTCGCCGACGGACGCCTCGCCGAGCGACGACTCGCGCGGCGCGGCCTCGTCGAGCGCCCGCGCCGCCGCGGCGGCGGCCTTGGCCTCGCCCTCGACGAGCGCCAGCAGCGACGGGTCCAGCTCCGCGACGCGCGCGAGACCCGCGACGGCCGCCGCCGCTCGCTCCGCGCCGTCGTAGGCCTCGCGCGCGCCGAAGGCGTCGCCGGCCCGCGCGAGGTCGTCGCCCGCGGCCCGGAGCTCCAGCGCCCGCGCGACCTACGGGACGCGTCGGTTTCATCGTGTTCCCGGTCGAACGCTCTCGAAGATCGTCGCAGCCGCGGGACGCTGCGCGCGACCTCGGCCTGGAGCTGGGCCGCCGCGGACTCGGCGACCGCGCGGCGCTCGAGCGCGGCCGCGCGGCGGACCTTCGAGGCCTCGCGCCGGAGGTCCCGGAAGTAGGACGCGACCTCGCGGAGCGCCGCGAGCCAGGCGCCGCGCTCGTTTGACGTCCGCGCCGCGAGGGTCACGGCGAGGCCCGTCTCGCCGCCCGCTTGGACGACGAAGGGGTACCGGCCGCCGTCCTCGTCGCGCGCCGTCGCCGACGCCAGGGTCCGGGCGTCGACCCAGCCCACGACGGACACGCCCGTGGGCAGCGCGACGCCGTCCGCGGCGCCGCCGAAGGCCGCGAGGGCCCGCAACGCGCGCCGCGCCTCGTCGCCGTCGCAGCGGTAGAGCGCGAGCCGGCCGCGCGCGTGGAGCTCCGCGGAGACCTCCTTCCAGCGGGCGCCCGGCGCCTTGCGGTACATGAGGCAGCCGTCGAGGGCCACGAGGTCGTACTTGACCTGGACGCGCTGCAGGAGCCGCCCGAGGCCGCCCGCGTACTTGGCCAGGAGCACATCGACGTCGCCGGAGTCGATCATGGCCGGGTTCGCCAGCTCGTAGCTCTCGATGATCGCCGCGCGCTGCCAGGCGGCGCGGCGGCGCCGGCTCGGCGGCGCCGTGCGCGTCCCGCGCACGGCGATGGACTTGCCCACCATGCTGCGCGTGTCGTCGTCGGCTAGCACCGTTCCATCACTCGTTTCGCACGGGCAGCCAATCAGCGCCGCCGAGGCAGCCCCGAGGGAGACTGCCCCGGCCTGCTCCCCGGACGCGTCCACGCCGGACTCCGAGCTCGAGCGACGGGTATAATGAGAGGCCGCCGGCGCCTTACCACGGCGGCACGGACCCGCCGGACGTCCGACGCGAGCGCGGCTCCGGCTCCGAGGCGTACGGCGCCGCTCCGCGCTCCGCGCGCGCGCCCGCGTCGGCGCCGGCCCGCGGGCTGCGAAACGATCGACGCTCGAGACGGTCTCGCGGGCTCATCGTTTCGGCGCGCTCGTGATGACGCGCTTGATAAAGCTCAGCGAGAACTCCGCGATGGACCGCTGCTCGTCGTCCTTGCAGGCCGCGTAGGCCTTGGCGTCCTTGGCGTCGGCGGTGTGGTCGACCTCGTCCTTGGCGTCGGCGGACGCGTCGAGGTACTCGGCCGCTTTTCTGTCCTGGAAGCGCGCCTCCTGGATCTTCCGCCGCGGGCTGCAGGCGTTCAGCTTGTCCTCGTCCATGGCGCCGCCCGGCGGCTCCGGCGCGAGCCGGCGACGGGCCGCGCGGGCGGAGGGCGGCGGCGGGGCCGACCCGAGCGCAGCGGATGTGCGACCGCGCGGTCCGGCGCAAGGCTGGCGGAGCTACAGGGCGGAGGCACCACGGGCGGAGGGGCCGCTATCAGCGCGATGGATGGCTGCTCTCCAACACAATGTTGAAGATTTGTTCCAGCTCCCGCGGATACGAAACGGCGGCGAGTAGGGGCTCGTTCAGTAGGGGTAGGGCGCGGGCGCGGCGAAGCGGTCGTCGGGGCGCGGGCCCGGGTCGTAGGGCGCGCCGCGCCTCGTGAGCTCGTCGAAGGCGCGCGCGGACTCCTCGACGCTGCGGAAGACGGGGACGGCGCCCGCCGCGCGGTCCTGGGCGACGGCGGCGAGGGCGGCGTCGCGGTGCGCCCGCTCCGAGTCGAGGGACACGCGCTGGAGGCTCGACGTGAGGAGGTCCGCGTAGCGGTCGCTCGCGTCGACGCGCGGCGGCGGCGGCGCCGCGGCGTCGCGGACCGCGTCCGGCGGCGCGCGCGGCGGCGGCGTCTCCGCGGCGGCGGGCCCGCGCGCGGCGGCGCCGCCCCAGGCCGCGCCGGCGCAGGCCGCGCCGAAGGCCGCCGCGCCGAGCGTCGCCGCGCGCGCGGCCGCGTCGAGCGTCGCGCGCGATTCCGGCGGGCTCCCGCCGCGGCGCGGCGGCTCGGGCGTCGCCGCCGGCGCGCGCCGCAGGGCCCGGTCCGCCTCGCGGAGGGCCCGGTCCGACTCGAGCGCCCGGTCCGCCTCGCGGAGGGCCCGGTCCGCCTCCGCGTCCGGGTCCAGGTCGGGGGGCGGCGGCGGCCGCGGCGGCCGCGGCGCCGCAGGCACGTACGCGGCGCCCTCGAGGTGGTCGTTCATGGCGTGGACCTCGTCGCGCATGGACTCGAGCATGCCTGGCGCGCACTTCTTTTTTTGCCGAGTTTCCGACGAGCGAGGCGCGTCTCTCGTTTCGGACGAGCGGTCGGAAACATCCTCTCTCTGGAACGCGTGGATATTCCCGCCCTGGGTCGTGCGCGCCACGGCGCTCGCGCGGTGGCTGCCGACGTCCGGCTCGCTCTCGTCGCTCTCGTCGCCGCGGCGGGCCGCGGGGCTCCGGCCCGCGCGCGGCTGCGCCGCGCGGTCCTGCCAGCCCTCGGCGGCGAGCGTGCGGTCGAGGTCCGCGAGGCGCCGCGACAGGACGCCCGTCTCCGCGCCGACGACGGCCGCGCGCGGCGTCGCGGCCGCGGCGGGCGCGGGCGCCGCGGCGGGCGGCGCGGCCGCCGCACCGCGGCGGCCCTGGCCGAGGGCGGACGTGACGCGGTCCCGCAGGCTCCGGAGCTTGCCGACGTCGTCGAGGGCGAGCCGCGGCGCGTCCGTGGCCTTCTCGCTCAGGCGGTGGCTGTCGAAGAGCACGTCGTCGCAGCGGCGCAGCAATTTCGGGAAGTGCGCGACGAGGGCCTCGCGGTTGTGGGCGCGCATGGCGCGCTGCACGGCCTCGGCGACGTCGTCGAGGAGCCGGCACTGGCGGTCGATGTCCGCGAGGACCGCCGCGGCGCCCGCCTCGGCCGCGCAGCGGTCGCGCGCCGCCTCGAGCTCCGACCGGCACGTGGAGTGGTGGTAGTCGACCTCCGCGACGAGCTCGTCGCGCTCCCGGTCGAGGACGCGCAGCGCGTCCTCGAAGGCGAGCACGGTCTGCGCGTTCGTGCTCTCCCAGCCGCTCCGCTCGGAGCAGTGCTTCGCCTTGGTGTACTGGAGGCGGCCCAGGGCCACGTGCAGGTCGCTCACGTGCTGCGAGAAGAGCAGCGGGATCGTCGACGTCGCGTCGAGGGGCGGGCCGGGGGCGGCGGCGGCGGACGCGCCGACGCCGTCGACGCCGGGCGCGCCGCCGACGACGCCGCTCATCATCGTTCCAAACCGCGGGCGGGCTGCCTATGAATTCTTTTGTGGTTGCCGTGCACGGTGCCGTTTTTTCTCGCGAGCCTAGGCTCACGTGCTGCCTTCCGAGGCCCTCTCTTCAGCCTCCTCGATGCGTCTGCGACGCGCGCGCCGGCGTGTCTTTGCCTGCGTCCACGTGTACGACCCCACTGCGACGTCGTGGAGCGGGTCCGCGCGCTCGACGCCATGCGTCCCGGTCCCGACCCGGCGGATCTGTCCGGGCGTGCGCCCCAGCCGCCTGACGAGTGCGGCGACCGAATCGGCCCCATGTCTCGCGACGCAGGGCGTCGGGTAGGCCGCCGATTCCAACTGAAACCCGGCGTGTGCAGCTGCAGCTCGAGCCTCGACGCACAAATTGTGATCCAAACAAGCTCCGCGTCGACGTCGCGCGCCACCAGCGACGACAGCACAGCTCATCATGCCGTCAGCCGCCGAACAAGAGGCCATCGACGTCGCCAAGCGCACCTTCATCAAGTGGTTTAGATGCCAGAGCGGGGCGGCGATCATCTCGTGCTTCTTCCTCGTCGTCCTCCAGCCCATCGTGCTCACGCCGCTCAGCTGCATCGCCGTCTGCGGCATGTCGGCGTTCACGTGCGCCGCGGGCTACTACACGTCGCGCTGCAAGGACAACGAGCTCGACGTCATGCGCGCCGCCGGCGCCGCGCGCGCGCCGCCGAGGCCGGGCCGCCGCCGCCGAGCCGCCGCCGCCGAGCCGCCGCCCGCGCCGCAGGTACCAGCTCTACGCGTTCATGGTCACGGCGCTCATCTTCGTTCTCGTCCAGACCGTCATGCTGCCGTGCTTCAAGGCGTTCTACGACCACAGCCCGCGGCGCCGCGTCCGCCGCGCCGCGCGCCGCCGCCGAGCGTCCGTCCCGCGCAGGCCAGGCGGGCTTCCACCTCACGGACAACTACGTCATCGCGACCTTCGTGAGCATGGTCTACGGCATGATCTCCATCAAGGCGACGACGGCCGTGAACACCTACGGCGAGACCGTCCACCCGCTCAAGAAGAAGAAGGCGTAGCCGCGCGGCCCGACGGTCTAAGCTGTGTTGTGGGACGTGGTGTGTTCTTGGATTTGACATGAAGGCGCGCGTCCCGAAGGCACGTCTTGCTGGTGTGGCGCGTCCGAGCCTCCGAGGCGCGCCTCGCACCTGATTCCGCGCGGCGACCATCGAGTTCGCGGCGACGCCGCGGCGACGCCGGACGCCCGTGCCGACGCAGCCGCGTCGACGGGCGGTTCCACGCGTGCCGGGGGCACTTGCGGACGCATGGTGGCGCCTAAATCACCTCAATCTTCGGTTGTTGACTTTGCACCAGTTTTGTTGAGTTGCACGTAAAACGTGCAACATTTTCCGAAGGTCAAATGCGGCTCGGAGCGGTCGCAAAAGCGCTCCGACACGCGTAGGCGCGCCGCATCTCGCATCCCCGGCCTACTCGCCGCCGCGCCCCTCCTCCTGCATCGCCTCCGCGGCCGCGCGCGCGCCTCCCGCCTCCCGCCGCGCGCTCCGAACGCGCTCCCGCGCGGCCCGACCCATCGGCGACCGAGAAACAGCCCGCGGAGCGATTCGATGGGATTACGTGCAGGGGCGTCACACAAGGCGCGGCGCGCGCGGTCTTCCGTGGGACGGAACCGCGGGGGCGGCGGCGAACCGAGGCCCGACGGGGCGGGCCGCGGCGGGAGCGGCGGGGGGAGAGACGGCCGGTCGGTTTGAGGTCCGGGTCTCGACTTCTTGATTCACGTAGCTATGTACAACGCTTGCTTGCTTGCTCAGGCGTCCTCGACCTTGCCGTCGACGAACTTGGTCTCGGCCTCGGTGATCGCGGCGCGCTGCTTGACGCCCGCGTACCAGCCGTCCTTGTTGATGAGCCAGAACGGGAAGACGAGGAACCAGGCGCCGATGATGGAGCCGAGGGTGACGGGGAACCAGTTGAACCAGAACGCGTTGCCCCAGTTGCAGCGGCTGTCGAGGTAGTGGCCGCCGGTCATGATGCCCGCGGGGATGAGGAACTGGTTGACGACGAGGTGGTCGAAGCCGGAGGAGATGAAGAGCTCGATCGGGAGCCAGATCATGATGAACTTGGAGATGGGCTCCGTCGCGATCATCTGGAGCCAGATCGCGAGGCAGACCATCCAGTTGCAGCCCGCGCCGCGGATGATGGACGTCGTGAACGCGGCCGTGCACTTGGCGCGGCAGACCTTCATGACCTTGCAGACGTTGGCGTTGCCCCAGTTGCCGCGCGTGCAGAAGTCGCCGTTGAAGTCCTCGCGGAACGACGCCGCCGACTCGTACCAGAGCTTCTCGAGGTTCTCGAGGGAGCCCGTCGGGTCCGAGTAGGGGTCGTTGTCGACGGCGACGGTCTTCATGAGGCCCGAGGACCAGGCGAACACGACGAAGTGGAGCACGGCGCCGCCGAGGTTCGCCCACCAGCAGACGAACCAGTTCCCGAGGAGGCCCTTGATCTGGCGCATGCGGTCTTCGGGCTCGGCGGCGAGGACGGCGAAGGTGCAGAACATGTAGTTGGCCGTGATGAGCTCGGCGCCCTGGCACATGACGATGAAGGTGAGGCCGAACGGGATGCCGAAGCCCGCGAAGACGAAGTTGTTCACGCCCGTCGACGAGCCCCAGCGGCCGCCGACCTGGCAGGACATGAGGATGCCGAAGGAGAGGAGGAGGCCCGCCTGGACGGAGAGGAGGCACGTCATGAGGGGCTTCTTGAGCATGCGCTCGTGGATGGTCTCGCCGACGCAGATGACGAAGCCCATGACCTCGGGTTGCGTGTTGAAGACCCGCTTCACGTGCATGAACTTGTTCTCGTACTGGACGGGACGGGGGAGCGTGTGGGCGTTGGAGTGGGCGATGACATTGTGGGCGACCATGGTGACAAGTGTCCTAAATCGTTCAAGTTCGCGGCGAGGCGAATATCCGGGCGATTTTCGCGGGGGAAAGTCGCGCGAGAGGTGGTGGAGGGGTGGTGGAGGGCGGGAGGAGCGTGCGGGCGCGGCGGGAGGTGGTACGCGGGGCGGGAGCGGCGGCGCGCGAGCGCTGACCTTCTATACGATATTCTGCGTGTTCGAAGAGGCGACCAAAGGAAAGGTCACCCAAATGTTTCACTCAATCACGGCAACAATCGGCGACTGGGGAGACGTCCGGAGGCGAGACACACGCGCGCCTACGCCAGTACGCGGAGCCACCACGCTCCTCCAGCTCTACCCTACCCCCAATGCGGCACCCGGCCCCTCTCTGTAAGATGCTCGAGATCCGCCCGCGCGCCGCGTGGTCCGCGACCGCGGCGCGGCGGCCTCGCTTGCAATTTGCAAATCGCAGCGCGATCTCGGCTCGGCGGCCAGTCCGCACACGGATGCACACGGTACTCGTCTCGAGGAAGCCTATCGGCCAATCAGTCCCTGAACGCGGGAAGGCTACCGCGTCCCCGCCGCGAGTCGCCGCGGCCTCCTCCCCGGCGACGCCGCGCCGCTACGCACGCCGCTACGGGACTCTTAGCTACCCGCTACTGGCGGCGCATGGCGCTCGCCCTTCGATCGATGCCGGACGACGGGTCTCCGCGGCGGCCGCGGACCTCGGGTCTTCACTTGGCCTCCGGCGACGGCGCCGTGTTGTCCGCGGCGTTCTGCTCGATGTGCGGGAGGAACTTGCCGTTGAACGTCAGCACGACGCGGCGCTCGCCCTGCTTGCCGACGGTCGAGCCGACGGTGAAGTAGAAGTCGATCGCGCTCATGATGCCGTCGCCGAACTTCTCGTTGATCAGGAGCTTGATGGCGTTGCCGTAGTGCGTGATCGCCTCGTAGGTGCGGTAGACGTTGGGCTCCTTGAGGATCTCGTCGTCGAAGCCGCGCATGGGCGCGACCTCGAGCGTGTCGAGGTCCTCGGCCGAGATGCCGGGCACCGCCGCGGAGAACTTGGCGCGCGACGCGGGCTTGAGCTGCGCCTGGCCGAGGAGCAGCTGGCACGTGTACGCGTTCGTCCAGCCGAGGCCGTCGGCGATCTCGTCGAAGGTCTTGCCCGTGGCCTTCTTCGACGCCATGAGGCGCTCGGCGAGGTCGCCGATGGGCGGCGACGCGAAGGAGCGCGTCGCCGGCGCGAGCGCGCGGCGCGGCACCGTGGAGGCGATGCAGGAGGAGCGGCGGAGGGCGAGGCCGAGCATGGTACGCTGTGGATGTCAGGAGGCCACGATCTGGCCACGTGTGTTGCTGCACCCACCCGAAGAACTTTCATTCAGCGACTGCAACAAACCGCGGACCTGCCTCCCCTCCCCGGACGGACGCAGTCGGGCGCGCATCCCCTTCAATAACTAGTCCAACAAAGCGTGATGAGGCTCGTGTTCCCCGCGGCGACGCGTCCGAAGGCCCCGAGACGAGCTCTCCTCGCGCGCCCGCAGCGCGGTTCGGCGCTCTGCGGCTTGCCCCCAAGTCTCCGCGCCGCGCCGCGCCGTGTCCGGACGACGACCGCGAAGTTCGCCGCGGTGCTACGCGTCGCCGCCAAAACCGCGCGCCAGCACGCCTCGCCGACGTTGATTCTAGACGTTGCTTTCGCCGGTTCCAAACCTTGACGGCCACGCCCGCGAGCACCGCCGGCCACCCCATATAAAGCCAGCCACGATGCGGTTCTTCTTATGCGCAGGCGGCGGGGCGCCGCGGCTTGGTCCGCGGCGCGGTCGCTCGTCGCCTACTTCTGCTCGCCGAAGAGCGAGAACTTCTGGAGCATGCCGACGAGGAGCACGGCGCCCGCGGCGTTGCCCGCCGCGACGACGCCGATGTTCGCGGCCATGTCCGCGACGGTGAACTCGGCGCCGAGCGCCGAGGCCATGGGCAGGAGGAACATGTTGGCGACGGAGTGCTCGAGGTTGAGCGTGATGAAGGTCATGATGGGCAGCCAGAGCGCGGCGATCTTGCCCGGCGCCGTCGGCGAGCTCGCGGCCTGGAAGACGGCCAGGTTCACGAGCCAGTTCGCGCCGACGCCCTTGAGGAAGGCGACGGACGGCGCGAGGGCGGCCTTGCCCGAGGCGGCCTTGACGAGGAGCGCCGCCGCGCCGGGCGTGAAGAGGCAGGCCGACGACGCGAGGCCGACCATGGCCAGCGAGCCCGCGAGGTTCGCGGCGAACGACACCGAGAGCACGCGGAGCGCGTCCGGCGACGGCTTCGGCAGGTACTGCGTGAGGAAGTTCGCCGTGACGAGCTCGCTCTTGCTGAGGACGATGAGGCTCAGGCCCAGCGGGAAGACCATGCCCCGGAGCAGCGACTGGAGGCCCGGGTCCGCCGCGAGCGACGGCGCGCCGCCGGCGACGACCATCATGAGGATGGAGCCCCAGCTCAGCATGGCGCCGCCGAGGAACGACGACGCGAAGAGCTGGGCCGACGACCGGTCCCGCTGGACGCCGCCCACGGTCTCGAGCATGCCCATCGTCTTGTTCGGGTCGAACGGCGCCGGCGGCGCGGCCGCGGCCGCGGGCTTCTTCTCGTCGGGCACGACGGCAGAGAGGCAGCGCACGGGCACGGCCCGCGCGACGAGCGGCGCGCGCCAGGCCGCCGGCCGCAGCGCCGCCGCGGCGCCGGGGCGCGCGAGGCTCTTCGCCGGCGCGAGCAGCGTCTGCAGCGCGTTGGTTTGCTTGAACCAGGGCGTTGTTGTTGTGGTTTTGAGCGTCGAGGCGCGGCCCAGGAGGGCTCCGGGGCGGGAGAAGGCGCGTAACATGTTGCACTTCGGGCCCCCAACTGCACTTTCTTCGGGATGGCTGCAGCTCACAAGCCAAAGCTCGAGGCCTCGCGTGGCAAAATCAACTTTGGCTAGTTGAAGAGCGCGCGCGCGCGTCGCCGTCCGACGCCTCGCGCGTGCCCGCGCGGACAACGGCAGTTTGAGCGGCCCGGGGCACTTCGAAGCGCCGTGTTGCGTGCGGAACACACACCCGTCCGGAGGTGAACGCTGAACACACATGGACGCACGTTGGGACACAGGGACATTTAGCTTCGTGCAAATCTGGAGGGGCGCTTCTCCGAATCGGGGGGAGGAGGGGACCGGCCCGGCCCGGCGGGCCGGCCGGTTCGGCTTGGGCGGCGGCGCGCGCCTAGTTCTCGAAGACGACGGTCTTGTTGCCGTAGACGACGACGCGGTCCTCGAGGTGCGCGCGGAGCGCGTGGAGGAGCGTGCGGCGCTCGACGCCGCGGCCCTTGCGGAGGAGGTCCTCGATGGAGTCGCGGTGCGTGACGCGCTCGACCTCCTGCTCGATGATGGGCCCCTCGTCGAGGCAGGCCGTCGCGTAGTGCGCCGTCGCGCCGATGAGCTTGACGCCGCGGTCGAAGGCGCGGTGGTAGGGCTTGGAGCCGATGAACGCGGGGAGGAAGGAGTGGTGGATGTTGATGCAGCGGTGCGTGAAGGCGGAGCAGAACTCGTCGGACATGATCTGCATGTAGCGCGCGAGGATGACGAGGTCGACGTCGAGCTCGCGGCAGAGCGCGATCTCCGCGTCCTCCTGCGCCCGCTTCGTGTCCTTGGTGATCTTGAAGACCTCGAAGCGGATGCCGAAGGCCTCGGCGATGGGCCGCAGGTCCTCGTGGTTCGAGATGATGAGGGGGATGTTGCAGGCGAGCTCGCCGGCCTTGTGGCGGAGCAGGATCTCCCAGAGCACGTGGTCGTACTTGGACACCATGACGCAGACGTTCTTCTTCCGCGAGTTCCAGTTGAGCTGGAACTCGAGGCCCAGCCGGCCGCAGACCTCGGCGACGGCGCCCTCGAGCTGCTCCGTCGTCTTGCGCATCGTCTCGTACTTGAACTCGACGCGCTGGAAGTACGCGTCGATGTCGTGGTCCCGGAACTGCTCGCTGTGCTCGACGACGCAGCCGTGGCTGTTGAGCAGCTCGGCCATGGCCATGTTCACGTTCACGGAGTTCTTGCCGAGCACGCGGAGCGTCGCGATGTGCTGCGGCAGCTCGCGCTTCTCCTTGACCGGCGACCAGGCCGTCGTCGTGTAGAACTTGTCGCTCTCGCAGGACGCGGACGTCACGGAGCGCACGGAGCTGTCCATGCCGAGGTTGTCGAAGCGCTTCACGTGGGCGTCGATGGTTGCGCTCATCATGCTGATTTCCTCTGGCATATGCGGGACGAACAGCCGCGGCGCGGAGCAATGCCAGTCACCACACCTCACTTTCACCACATGAGTTCCAGTCTTCGTGCGGCAACACAACTTACGTGGTTCGTGAAATTGACTCTCGAGGGGTCCA